AATTGTAAAGATTGAAATGCACAAGAAAGACATAGTCTAAAAGAATCAAAATCCAATCTAAGAAATAATTGATAAATTACAAAGATTGAAATGCACAAGAAAGACATAATCTGAAAGAATAAAAAATGTTTGAATAAGATTAGAATCCAAATCCAAGAGATCGATAACCACCAGAATCATGTGATCAAGAGGTGCAGCCACTACATAAGAAAAACTGTATCCTTCATCAATTAGGAAACACCATACAATTATTTTCTATAAAACTTCCCAATAATTACAATCTAAACCAGCTCATAGTCTCACAAAATATATAGTTAAAAACTCAATTTTCTTTATTTAAACCCAATTTCTGAGCAGGTCCAGTAAATGTCTGTTCAACTCAATTGTTTAACTCGGACTGAACCACCGGACCCTCGGTTCAATGTTTAGAATCGGTCAGTCCGTATGGTTTAAAAACGCTGTTATATGGTGATAGAAAATTGGCAGGCACGGTGGATAAGAAAACTCTCGTGAAACCAATGCGTTCGGATTTTCAGCTACATATCTTTATGGGACAAGATTCAGAGAGCTAACGTATTTCACAGCTGCCATACATTTCTGAACCAATCTTTCATGGGAACAGTAAGGACGGTCCCATATATAGAATAAAAGATCCAATAATGAAGGATGGCTTGACAAATATGACAGCGCTGTAACTTGGTTAATCAATGGGATCGCACGATGGCAGGTGGACACTAATGTCAGAGCCTTACCTGATAATCGGAAATGACAGACACTGGCGACGGCATGGAAGAAAGGAACGGCTGAACAAGTGGTGAGGTGTCAAAATAAGTGATTTAAATGAATTTAAATGGTTATAATTTATTTTTTTATTTTTTTTTACATGTTGTCTGATAAAAAATAATGGCATCTTATTGTTATTAGATTGATAATAAATTCAAATTATTTGTTTAATATTTGAGTTTAAATGATTCGAGTTAATCTACTATCTATTAATTAAATGAGTTTAATTGGATATCCATTTAAATCTATTTCAAATTAGTGGGTGGGTTTAAACGGGTTATTGGGGAGCGATTTTGGACGAATCAACATAATGAAGTTTGTGATTGACACTCTAAATATAGGATACCCCTCCAAAAGTATTTGAATAAGATCGGAATCCAAATCAAAGAGATGGACAGCCACAATTATGCGAGCAAGAAGTCCAGCTACTACATAAGAAAAACTCTATCCTTTATCAATTGGGAAACACTCAATTCTTTTATCCACTCATGAATCACCAATTATATCTTTGATTAATTTTTTTTTTGTAGATGCGATTTATATTTTCTGTAAAAATTCCCAAAAGTTACAATCTAAACCGGCTCATAGTCTCACAAAACATGTACTTGAAAATAAAAAAAAAAAATATATATATATATATATATATATATATATATAGTGGTTTCACGTGACCTGGCCAAATTAAGACCCTATCAATTCCGTTGTTACTATCAGATATATAATAGAGTACCATATCTTCTTGCACTCTATCCAAAATATGGGTCTTTTGTCTTGAGTTTTAATTTACTCTATTATCTGTTTGTCTTTCTTGCACTCTATTAATCTAAGAAACAAATTATTAAATTGTAAAGATTGAAAGGCACAAGAAAGACACAATCTGAACCAAACGAAGCTATTGGAAGAAGATTGGATTCTGATCAGCAACCAGAATCATGTGATGAAGAGGTGCAACTATCATTTAGAAACACTCTACCAACTCGTGAATCACCCAGTTATATCTTTGATTATCTGTGGGTACGAAATATTAAGTCAATTAAATGTGCATAAGGATTCATTATAACTGGTGATTCTAAGGATTCATTACTCACATAACCACACATGTGAAAGGGCATGATACTAAGGATTCATTACTCACATACTAAGGATTCATACTCACATTACTCACTTTAACCTCTTGACTCCTAACCTAAATTCGATTGTGCCGATGTCTCAACTTGAATTTCAAAACTCTGCCATGTATTAGTCCCAAAAATTGTCTACATATCAATCAATGTATGCACGGATGTTTGCCATTTTACCATAGTGAGAATAAAATGTTTACTTTTAAAAGAATACATTATTGGTGGTATCTATATATTTAACTCAAAATAAGAGCAATGCCGATCACAAAATTAAATTTTTACTTCTTTCGTTCCACTAAAAATGTCATTCATTTTTGTATCCTCCACAATATTCATCATTTCAAAAAGGTTCACATGCTCGTTATTTTTACTATTTGTCTACTCTTAATCATTGTCTTTTTGTGGATCACATGTAGTAACCATTCAGATGTTGAATTTGCAAGATAAGTTGAGAAGACAAGAATTAATATACTATTCTTAACAAGCGAGATTTTCATTAGAAAATTTGTTTTGTGACTGATAGATTATAATGAAGAATTATCAGTTGTTTCAACCTCCTCCTAGGACTTGCTTAAAGTGACTAATTAGTGACTAATTAGGAAGAGATATGCACTTGTTCACCAAGAAAAAATAGCATTCTAATCCAGTCTCCTGAAAATTATAAAACATTAGTAGCATACGCGTTCGAGATGCTCTAAGAAATCGAAGCATATAAAACTTTGATTGTCAAAAGTAGCGCTACTACACCACGGAGTTTTAATCGAATACTGACGATCAAACATGAGGCACACGAATTTAGTGATTTCTAGTATTACACATTGAGCAAGGTGACTTGAGCTAAACAACTAAAATGCTGAAAGAGCTCTTGGATATTACTAGATTGAAGAAGTAGATGGAACCAATACAAAGTTCACTTCTGGGAAGAAATGGCAAACAGGGGCAGTGCCTGGTTCGATACCAAGCAGTCGGAAGGAAACGTGATCATGGTTCCATTGGGAGGTATCCATGTGACATATTGCAATAGCTTCAACCCTATCACAATTCTCTCCAGATAGAACAGTCCTGTACGAACGATTATCACCCTGCTGATAGTGGCAATAGAAAACTATGAAAGGATATTGCATGGTGTGACAGGCAACCACCTTTAGAGTTGAAATTCGTTCAGGAGCTTCTGTGATTGTATAGTTCTGTAATCTAGCAGCATTAGATTTTGCGAGGTAATTGATAAGTGACTAATTTACGTAATAATTGTATAATATTTTATATTATTTTTAGTCACTTTAGTTATATTATTGGAAGAATATGAATCATTTTGGCTATAATTGGTGAAAAATGCTTTTAAGTGATTAAATGAGGTTTTTATCACTTTTTAGTGGATTTTGTGTATTTTGACAGTTTTTGACACATTTTCGTATTTCGGCTATAACTTGAGCTAAAATGATCGGATTGGGATGATTCTTGAACTAATTTGAAGATAAGAGATAGATCTACAACTTTGGTGAAGACATCTGAATCCAGTTTGAAGGTTTTCCAGGTCAAAAAGCCGAAGTACAGAGTCAATTGCTATTGGTCGAAACTGGAACAAGGCATGGAGCAGGCAAGGGTATTTCAGTCATATCTCAGCCTATACAGATCCAAATGAGGCGATTCTTGATGCATTGGAAAGATAAGTCAAAAGGCTACAACTTTCATGTTTTAGACATGAGCTGGTTCAGCCTCTAACATCAAGAAAAGATCAGTTGAAGTTGGGCCAAAAACAGAGCAAGTGATCCACACTCGGATCCACTATTCATCCGAACCCTCGGCTGTTTCTGGGTTAGTGGATCCGAGCTCGGATCCATACGGATCCGAGGCACTGTAGCAGCTCGGATCACTGTAGCAGCCCAGATTACTGTAGCAATCCGGCCGGAATTTGGCCGGATTTGTGGCCGGATTCCTGGCCGGATTGTGGTCAGAAAAGGCTGCTATGTACGCGTAAAACTCAATTTCACCTCCACCAACTCACATGCGATGCTATACATGTGAGAAACATTCCCAGCTGTAAAAGGGAGATGTAATCCTCATTTCTGGACCACCTTTCATCATTAAAGAGCCAAATTCGTTGCAAAAGAGAGGAGAGAGAGCAAGAGAAGAGGAGATAGCAGAAAAATAGAGAGTGAGCTACGGGAGAAAGCTTGAAGCTGCAGAAATGTAGCTCTTTCATCTCCCTAGTATTAGTTTAGCTTAGTATAGAGTAGTGTAGCTTTTCCATTCTTGTTTATTATCTAGATTAGGATGAAGATGGAGGATGAAGAAGGCAAGGAAGAAAGCTCATGTGACAAGGGTTGTATTCCTTCAAAACTCTTTATCTTTTGTATTTGATTCCAAGTTTAGTTAATATACAAGTTCTGAATTTTGTGTTCAATATGTGTGTTTAAAGTTTAAGCCTTGGGTTTGGTTGAACTTTCTATGATTGTTAGTGTTTATTATTTGGTTATTTGACTGCTATGATTTGAGCAAGTTATTTAGCACTTTGGCTTCTTAAATCATGATTAATCTGGTACCATTGATTGTGATTATCTAAGGTGTTGTTTCTGCAATGAAAATTGAGATTTAACACTAGTTCAAGAAGTGCTAAACATAGGGAGTACACTCACGAAAGTAGAGGTGCACTTATGTGGTTTTTAGTGATTCATTTCATGTAATTTCATTGAAGAAATGAACTTGTAGCTAATTTCATAACCATGAAAATAGGTATGGATTAGTTATGAGTATAGTTGATTCACTACGAAAGTAGGTTTCACATGTTTAAGGAAATTACACCATAACTAGCCTAGATGTAGTATTCAATGATCCAAAAATAGCACTTGCATGAGTAGTTGAGGATACCACAACCTAAGGAGCTTTTATTTGTTATTTTGTATAATTTCAGTAGGTTAAATTTGTTATAATTCATTGATAGTCTAAATAATAGAGAAGCTTTAGTAATACCGGTAATTGTTCACTCTTCCCTGTGGGATCGACCCGATATATACCCTAAACTACTAGTTGACCTGTATACTTGCAGTGAACAGGTGTAATTCGGTTTTTTAACTTGTACGTATGTAAAATATCCCGTCAGTAATGCGTTGATAAAACTTCAATATCGGTATTCAATCCAAAGATCTTTCGTGCAGAATCTACCAATGACTCGTAGGATGTGGCACAAGCCTTGGATTCTCCCTTGATAGGCTTAGTCTCGCATGCTCGGAGTGTATGTTGCATCACTTGGGCCTTGCGAGATCCTTGAGCGAATGAAAAGTGTTGAAGAATTTGTGGGAGTTTTGCCAATGAAAAGGGAATAGCATCGGCTTGTTCTCTAGGCCAGAGATAAGGAGAGGACAAAGGACTAGGATCTCCGTCAGGGAAAAGGATACTCATTGTTTTGCCTAACTTGAGATCATCTAAAACGAAAAACATGGTTTTTCTTGCATCTATCTGATGCATCATGTGGGATGACGAAAGAGAAGGATGATGCATTGACTTCTTTTCATGTACGTGAGCAACATGATGTGTCTTATCATTTCGATGAGGATTATTAGCATCAATGCCGTGGAGCCTGATTGCATTAGTACCACTATCCTTGGCCTTGGGTATGATGTCACAGGCTCCCTGTACAGGTTGTATAGTGTTGTAAGACAGCGAGAATTAAGTCCACAGAATATAAATCACAAAAAACAATTAATTGCAAAGTAACTTACCAGGACAATCAACAGATGGAGGAGAACACAAGAAGCAACTGCTTTGGAATCCATCAGTTGGTAGCTATTATTTCCTTTGCAAGTCCTCTTTTGAAGGTTTTCACAAGACAAGAAGCAATAAAACATATTTATATATATGGATACAATGAAGCGTGCTCGAGGAACTCATTCTTCTTTAACATATTATAATTACAATTTTACCCCTTGAAAATTACATCTTGATTTTCTAATGTAATGTCTCATCTTGGCCTATGTTTTTAAAATGAGTTTGTTTTGGAAAACTAGTTTTTATACTTGGAATCTATAGTAACAAACTCCAAAAATACTCCCAAAATCACTACAAATACACATCTCAAATGTACCTAACAAAAATATATTAAAAAAAACTACCAGCCATTTCTTCTTCCATTCACTACCGATCACCACCACACGCTGCCACCACCACTTCCCTTTCTTCACCACCACCACCATTCCTCCCCCTTCCCTCCTTCCTCCTCCTGAATCTCCTTCTTTATCCCTCCCCTCGCCTCCCCTCCCTCCACAAGAAAGATAATTTTGCAAGTGGTACACCTATGGGTCATTGCATCAATTCCACAGCCTCAATAGGGATCTGCATCCAGTATGGATCAATCTTTTTTTTTTTAACAGACAATATGGTGGGTCGATCTGGAATTTATTCTTTTCGAGTAAAATGCACAAAACTTGCCTATGATTTGCGCGTTATTGAACCCCCCTTCTCATTCAAAAATATCCAAAAGAATTTATTGGTTTAAACTGATAGGTAAGATGGATGAAAACCTTCTATATTGATATAGAGAAAAGTTGGAAATTCTTGTACTACTTTTACTTTTAGGTAAAAAAGGTTAATTAAGGGGCTTAATTATAATTTCAAAAAATTTATATTCTTTATTAAAGAAAACAGTAAGTTGAAGGGTAGAATTACAATTTTGAATATTTCTTTCCTTAAACCTAATCATCTTCATCGATCCCCTTAATACGGTAACTCACAACTTGTGATTCCCACCGCAACTTAATTTTTTTTTTAAAAAAATTTTCCATAAACACCGCTGCCTCCTTGGCAATCTTTTTCCAATGTTTTTCAGAACCGGACCGGACCGGCCAATTCGATTGGTTGAATCGCGAACCGGACATACCACTGGTCCGGTCCAGTATTAAATTCGAAAGTTAATGCAAAATCACTAGAAATCGGTCGAACCGTATGAACCACAAAAAATTGTACAAACCGTAATCGGGCGGATTTTTAATTCAAACAAAATGTCAAGAATATAGCTACGCAAGTTCGAACCTCAGTTTTCATGTTCCTATAAGACACTCTTACCACTAGACCACAGTCAAAGGACAAGCTTAGTTTGACTAAAAAATATATTAAAAAAATGAAACCCTAACATTAAGAAAAGAAACAGCCGATGCACTTTTCTTTCAAGTTTCAATCCATCTCTTTCTTGGCTTCAGGCGGCCACCGGCTCTAGTTCACCTCTTGAATTTTTTTTTCAATTTTTTCTTCTTAACCATTTCAAACCCAAATATCCACAACAAAATTTTCTCAAGCCTTCACCTTTATCACTATCATCTTTAGCAGATTGTAGACAAATTGGAAATTTCAATTTTCACAAGATATTTGAGACTCAAAAGCTTTTCCTGTTTTCCATCATCTTGGTAAGTTTATTTTTTCCCTTTTCAAGGTTTTTGTTTTCTATATTATTATCTTTAGCCAAATTTTTTGCATTTCCTTCTTTTTTCCCCCAATTTTCACCCATTTCCCCTAATTTTTGTTTTATTTTTATTCGATTAATTAAGGATGAAATTATGAATCATTAATTATTTTGCAATCATATTTGGAGAAGCTATTTTTTGGATGAAGTACCAAATTAATAAAATTAGACATGGATGAAGTATCAAATTAATAAATTTTGTATCAATGATTGTTCTATTTTTTCTATGCTGTTTAGTGTGTTTTTTTTTTTTTGCTTTTTCTATGCTGAAGTAATTAGTCTACCGAATGCTCATTCATCTTGAATTTTATAGGTTTCATTGAAGCAACAAAATTAAAGACATTTTAAAGTTGACTTGTGAAAGTTGTCAAACAAAAGCTTAAAAAAAAGTGCCAAATCGGACCACATGTTTGTATGCCTTGGTAAATCCGTAAATGGTAACCTCAAGACCACATGTTTAGTAGCAATTTAATTTTTATGTGTTTAGCTGTATCTTTGTTTTTCAATTTTTTTTTTTTTTGAGTTTGAGTGATAAGTGAATATTTAACGTACATCTTGTACAAGTTTGGCATGAACTTTTGTTATGTTTTGAGAGGATTAAAGCCATATTTGAACTCTTTTTGGGGCTAATTGCTTAAGTGTTGTTTAAATAATCAAACTTGCTAAATGCGTGGATTAATGCTTTAATCTGTGATATTTTGAAGGATATTAACATGTGAACTTCATGTACAAGATAAAGAAAGAGCAAGGATCATTTGGAGGATAAAGTACAAAAGAAACTAGGAGCAAAAAAAAAATAAAGAAAAAAGGAAGGAACCGAAAATCTGGAAAATGGTCACATGGATCCGAGCCCGGATCCGTGTGCAACAAGATTGATCCGAGCCCTCGTCTGTACTTCTGGAGTAATGGATCCGAGGTCAGTTGATCCGAGCTCGGATCCATTTGAGAAAGGTCTCGGATCCGCAATGATCCGAGCTCGGATCCGCAATGATCCGAGCTCGGATCCATTTGAGAAAGGCCTTAGATCCACAATGATCCGAGCTCGAATCTTACTGAAGCCGTCGGATCCGTGGCTCGGATCTGTCTCTCTCTGTTGCAAGTGGCATAGCCGGTTTTCTTACTTTTCACACAACTTTCCAGCTATCTTTGGTGAGAGAATTCGGTGGCACATGCTTTTGCAACAAAAGGGAAGACAAAATGAGTTATTGACAAGTCAAAACAACATATCTTTTGACTTTCTTTAACAAAATCTTAGTTGTTGGAATCATGAAGGAGAAAAAGGTGCTTTCCACCACCTTTTATGCAGAGAAACAGGGAGAAGCCAAGCATCACCATACGTAGTTAGTTTTTCTTCTGGAAAACAATTTTCTCTCTAGCTAGAAGTTCTAGAGGAAAAACTTGGAAACTTCACTTGTAATCATCTTGTACAAGATATAGTAGAATTTGGAGGGCTTCATCATTAATTGGCTAAGCTTTTCTTTATCTTTCTTGTACTTGTACTTTATGATGTTTTATATTAGTAAACTTGTGAGTTTGATTGTTATATCATTCATGAGTAGTTAAATTTTTTTATCTAGGGAGTAGATGAAACTTATGGCTAAATGATATGAATTGAATGTGATTTACACTTATTGTATCTTGTATTAACTTGTCTATTTGTGCAGTTGTAATTACTTATTGTTGTTTGATCACCAATAGCATGTTTATAGTTGTTATTAGTCAATGAGAATTGATAGTAACAATGAAAAAATATGAGTAGAGCTTGAGTTGTATGTTCATAAAAATAGAGGTACACTTAAGTAGATTATCTAGTATTTCATGAAAGAAAACAAAGTAGAACAAGTATTTCACCATGAAAATAGGGAAAACTGGACTGCTTTAGGCCATTTTATCATGAGAATGAGATTTGGTAATATTGGAAATGAATCCCTGGTTAAACAAGAATAATAACAAGAGGTAAATTTATTCATTTATGTTGTTTATGCCATAAGTGGAATCTACATCACTAGATTCAATCTTGAGTGAAATTTTTCCATTTGTATTTAGCATTTATTAAATTGGATTTGCAAACAGTAGCATTATAATCTTCTTGTTCAGATTCATTTTAAGTCTAAATAATAGAGAAAATAAGGGCCTAGTACTTGTTTAACTTGCTCCTTGTGAGATCGACCTGATATTTGCCTAAAACTACTAAGTGGCATGTATACTTGTAGTCCAACGGGTAAAGTTCGGAAATAAACTTGCATTGATATAAAAATCTCGTCAAGTTTTTGGCACCGTTGTCGGGGAGCGGCAATATTAGGGCCTAATCATCTCTATTAATTTAGATATTTCCATTGTTTTTATTTAAATTGTTTATAGTTGATTTTGCATTAATTTAGCTTTTGACAATTAAAGCTGCATAATTTCTTTTATTTCTATTTGTAGTGTATGCACCAAACATATCGAGAAGTTGCACCTTTCGATCTAGAAATTGAGAGGACAATAAGGAGACAAAGGAGGCATATACTGCATCAAAAGGAACCAGAGGTTTGGCAGCCGATAGAGGAAATTTTGATAGAGCCGCCGTTTGAGGAAGAAATGGTGGAAAACGAACCAAATAGGCGAGCTCTACGAGATTTTGCTTTACTGGGGACACAAGGATCTCAAACTAGCATCGCAAGGCCAACGGTAAATGCTAATAATTTTGAAATTAAACCATCACTGATTCAAATGGTTCAACAATCTAAATATGGAGGTAATGCTACAAAAGATCCAGATTTTCATTTGTCAACATTTCTTGAAATCTGTGATACAATTAAGTTTAATGGTGTTAGTGATGATGGAATTAAACTTCGATTGTTTCCATTTTGCTAAGGGACAAGGTCAAGGTTTGGTTACAATCTCATCCTCAAAATACTTTTACTACTTGGGCTGAATTAGCTAAGGCTTTTCTTAATAAATTTTTTTCACTTGGAAAAACTACTAAGCTTAGAATAGATATAACTAGTTTCTCTCAACAGGAAGGAGACACATTGTATGAACTTTGGGAGCGCTATCGGGAATTGCAACGAAGATGTCCTCATCATAGTTTACCAGATTGGCTAATAGTCCAAACATTTTACAATAGTCTCACCTATCCAACAAACATGCATGTAGATGCGGTAGCGGGAGGAGCATTGATAGGAAAGTCAGTCGAGGAAGTTCAATAATTGATTGAAAAAATGGCTGCTAATAACTACCAATGGACCAATGAACGAGGTAATACAAGGAGAGCCACAAGTATGCTTGAAGTAGATACCTTGAATATAAAGATGAATAATGTAATTAATATGCTTAATAGGCATGTTAGTTCTAACTCTAATCAAGGAGTAGTAGTTGCATGTTATACTACTTGCGACCGAAATCATGATGATTCTATGTGTTCTAGCAGCGAACAAGTTCAATATCTCAACAATTACAACTGTCCACCCCAAAATAATCCATACTCCAATACCTACAATCCAGGATGGCGTAATCACCCGAATTTTGGATGGAATGATCAAGGGAACCAACAAAGACCAGTTAATCCACCGGGTTTTCAACCAAAGCAACCACTTCCGGAGTCCAAACTAGCTTAGGAATTGGCAATTGAGAAGCTGGCAAATGTATCAAATGATAAAATTGAAAAGTTAACCAGTGCCACTACTCAACGGTTTGAAAGAATTAAGGGAAGGATAGGCCAACTCACCAATATGTACAGGAATGTTGAGCTCCAAT